TAAAATGGAACAGCCACTTTGGAAACAGTCTGGAAGTTTCTAAAATGGTTGAAACATAGAGTTACCATATAACTCACCAAATACCACTCTGAAGAATATAGCTCCAAAAATGAAAACATATCCACATAAAAACTTATTCAAAATACCACTGTTCAAAATGGCCAAAAAACAGAAGTATTCCAAGTGTCCGTTAACTGATGAGTAGAAAAATGAGATATGATATAACCATATAGCATATTATTCACCCAAGAAATAAAGTATTGGCACCTGCCATAACATAGATGAACCTCAAAAACATGTTAAGTAGAAAAAGTCAGCCACAAAAGACAATACACCATATTATTCTGTTTCTGTTTATAACAAATATCCAGAATAGCCAAACCAGATAAATGGTTTTCTAAGGCCAGTTGGAATGTGGAATATGGGGAACTGAGGTTGAGAACAAAAGGGTACAGAGTTTGGGAGAAAATGGTAAAAATGTTGTGTAATTGGTTGTGGTGATAGCAGCATGACTGTTTGAATATACATAAACCACTGAATTATACATATTAAATGGGTGATTTGCATGTATGTGAATTATTGGAACTGGAGATCATCATGTTAAACAAAGTAAGCCAAATTCAGAAAGACAAAGGTCGCATGTCCTTTCTCATATGTGGAAGGACAGATACAAATATGCACTAGCAATATTGTTTGATGGGATTAGGGGGAGGAGAGGGAGGGAAAAGAGTGAAATACAATGCATCTGTGTAGGAAGATGGCATAACAAAATGCACTCATCGAAACTGCTTTTTAAAAGGCAGAATATTTCTTCTCAAAGCCATTACTCTATAGTAAGTCAGAAAGAAGTGAGAAAATTAAGGCAAATGGGGTAACGTGGGGCAAAAAGTGATGAGAATGCTAGATGGAAAAGATAAGGAACAGAGAATACAAGAATATTAATTATTTCCTTTTGAAAATGACAACTCTTTGGCTTAAAGATAAATAACATTACTTTCTTTCAACGCCCACATTTGTCAAAGGAAGGAAGCCTGGGAGAAACAAAAAAGAATGGGCCTCAGAGTCTTGGATCCACTTTTTGTGAGCAACATGACCTTGGGAAAGTTACAGAGCCTCTGTTCACCAAAAAATGAACTCTTGTAATTCCTACATCAGAAAATGTCAAAACTTACACTAGGTACCCAAGAAATACTAGCTGTAATTTTTAAAAGTTGTTTAATTCTTAAAAGAAATTTATGAAGTTCAAATCAGTATGTCAGTAGCATTAAGTAAAGAATTAATTCCTATTTTCCAACTCCACACTGCCAAACTACATTCTCACCTTTATGGTAGTCAAGATTTCCAGAAGCTTCTCTCTATATTTTTGTTTAAAGAAGCAGCATCAAAGAAACCCATATTGGAAATACAATCTTTACCCAGGTCTACTTGGCATTTAGGACTGAGTTCATCCTTTTAAAATTCCCATTGATGGTCAGGTAAATGAGTAAACAGCAGAAAATATAAGTTTAATCTTACACTCAAAATTAAAGAGTTCATTATCAACCTTAAGGGAAAAAAGCACTACGTCTTATACTAAGACAAGTTTAGGAGAGCCTTATAAAATTCAATTATAAGTGGCTTTTGAACTGATGTATTTTCTCACAGCTAAGAAGCTTATTCTCTTATCCTTATTGATTTATTTCATTATTTTAGGCTATCTTTCTGTACTCCTAATGCTATTTATTAGGAATCTAAAGAGTAATGGATATACAAATCACCACAAACACTGCTGTGGAATGGATTCGTGACTGTGCTAAGTTTTTATTCTTGAAACTGGTGGCTACCCCAATGCTTCACACATGATATCAATTAGACAACAGAATAAATAGCCTCGCAGAAGGTATGTTGACTTCTGAGGACAGCAGGCAGGCCCAAAACAAAAGAATAGTCTCAAATTAGTAAATGTGGCATGGCAAGAGCTGCTGAATTGGGTAAATTTTACAATTTTAACACACATCACAGGATATAATAGCAACAGCTTCACAAATAATGAAAACACACACACAAAGCGCAGAAAGGCTTAAACAAAATAGAAAGATATATTGACATCATCAAGACTCATCAAAAGGAATTAATTATTTAGAGGAACATAAAGCTATTCATTACCAAATATTTGAAAGGAGCACTTTTATTACCAAAACTAACACGAATGTAGCCTCAAAAAAAAAAAAGACAACTCAGGATATTTGTAATATCAACAAAGCAATACAGAAGGGCCAGGCACAGTGGCTCATACCTATAACACCAACTACTTGGGATGCAGAGATTGGGGGGATCATTGTTCAAGGCCAGCCTGGCCAAAATGTTAGCAAGACTCCATCTCAACAAACAAGCCAGGTACACTGGTACACATTTCTAACCCCAGGAATGTGGGAGGCATAGGTAGGAGGATTATGGTGTTATGCAGGTCTGCCCCTTCCTTCCAAAAAAATAAGCAGTATAAGACTCAATTGGAAAATTAATAAAGCGAAAAAATGGTTGGTGGTACAGTGCCTGACTAGCAAGTGTGAGGTCCTGAATTCAAACCCAAGTGCTGCAAAAAAGAAAAAATAAAGGAAAACATGATACATAATACTTATTCACCTCTAGATAAGAAACACAGTTGAAAAATAAATGATAACAAAGTAAGCATTCCTTTAAATAATATTAAGTTAATTGGTGGTATTGCTCTGTTATTTATTAATGACCATCTTGCTATGAGAAGGACTGAAAGGAGCTAGCAGCTATTGCCAGATGGATAACATACAAAATTTTAGTTCATTTGCAATGTTATCAGTTGAGGTTTCTTAAAAGAGAGTTTTGATAAAAAACGTTAATGGGATTTGAATTTCATACTGTTAATATGGGATGACACAATGGGAAAGGAAGGAGTGCTGAGGTACCAAAATAAGAGATAGGTTTTATTAAATAAAATATAAGCGTGATGCCTCAATTCCTAGAATACAAGAGTATGATGTGCAAAGTAGTACATCATAAGAATGAACTCAAAATTACTTTTGTGAGTAATGGTTTGAATTGGGAAGAATTGATTTGAGGCTAAATATTCAGCAATCCCAAACATTCTTCTTTAAGTACACAATGAAAACTCAACAGCTTTGGTAATGACAGGATAGAATACCATTTGGAGGAAGACATTAAATCACTCTTACAGACTATGTGAATTTCAAGGGAAAGATCAAGGAACTATTTAGAACCTACTTGATGGCACTGAGTTATCCAGTTGGGTACCAACTCATCAAGACAAAGTTTGACATCAAGAGGGCACCTATATGGGCAGATATTAGGCTAGGTCCTTTGTGTAATTTCATTTTATCCTCACTTGAAGAAATAAAGGTTCTGAGATAATAAGTAAATTAGTCAATAGACACGCAGCTAACAACTACTATACATCAGGTACAGACCCAAGTGCTACAAACAAAGATGCTTTCTACCATATCAGGAAACATTTTTCAGATCTCCAGTACTAAGCCACAGTTAATAATGATGTCTGCAAGAAATGGGATGAGAAGAGTCAGTGCCCAACCCAAGGCATTTCTGACAAGTTAATAAGCATTGATAGACTATACAGCCTTATGGTAACAGAAAGGTGAGGTGGAGAAAATGATTAAATTATAAACAGTAACACTAATTTACTATTTCTTAAGGAAAGAAGTTAATTTCAGAAATGAGACAGTGCCAGTTTGGAAAAAATAATGAAAAGAAAATACTGGAAGTTAGTAAAAATGCTCCATTTTTAGAAATCTAAGTACAGAATTTCTTGTTCTTTCAAAGCTTTTGTTTAGAACTGGTTTAAAACTAAGGTTTAGAATAATTTATTAGAAAGTAATACAATTATTGAAGTGACACTTCTTGATCCCACATGACTGACTGAAGCAATAAAAAATACTATATAAATACTATGACCTTGCTGGGTATAGTATTCCCCTGCTGTAATGATCTTCTGCTGTGAAGTTCTAACAACTTTTCCAGCTACTGGGCACCTAATGTGAAAGCACTGTCCTTAACACACATCACTTTCTGAACAGCAAGGATGCTCACTGTCTGCTAAAATAAGTGTTCACACAGGAAAATATGAGTTCATTCTCATGTCAAGATTCTAAATAAGTAACTTCTCCTAAGGCCTACTTACCTCAGTTTTAAAATGGTGTTAATTCCTATGTTGCAGAGTTGGTAAGGAAAAGCATTTAGCATTAGTGTTTATGAGGATATAAACACTTAATATGGTTTCAGATTGTATTATGTCATTCTTTCATTAACATCTTTGTCGACCATAAATTAGTTATAACATAAAGGTAAGAGAATTCCACTTACTCTCATTTACTTAAAAACTAGTCTGTATGTTAACTGTGTCAAAAACTTTGGCTACGTCAATGAATGATCTTTCGTGTTACTATCATCTTTCTTCAAAACAATAAAGATTCAAAAAAACAATAAATATTCTCTGTGCTAAGTTGTAATTCTGGAAGTGATCTAAAGTTCAAGAAATGTTTTACAAGTTCAATTCTAACATTCACCTATCCTACCAAGCCTAATCATTAGAATGGAAAGATTCCTTTGACAATCTTCAAACCAATAGTAATTTTAGTGGTTATAAAAGTGCCACGGGCTTATGATAATTTCCTCATCTCATCTTATTTTAAGGCTCTGCCATTACAAAATTAAAAAGCATATATACGCAAGAAGTCTATAAACATAAATTTCCTTTTTATTTTAACAAAAATAAGAACAAGGACAAACAAAAGCTGGGTTTTATTTAATTTCAAAAGAAAGTCTACATGACCAGATGGTTTAAGACTCCGCTTTTGAAAGAATTTATAAAGTAGGTGCTATTCTACTTTTTGAAATAAAAATCTCTGCAAATAGATATTCAGACTTTCAGTTACCAGAATCTGATTTTGCACCCTTATAGCCACTCTGCCTTGTAAAATATTAGTTATCCAGAACAATTCAAAAACACCCACCTCTGCTTGGCAGAGTGCATGAAGGCCTTGTAACACCAAGGCTGCTGGAGTAGCTTGGTCAGGTTTGGTACATTCATTCAGCACCTGAGAAATAGCTGCCAGCATGTCTGCACCATGCTGATAGGGCCTGCAACAAACAACAGGTGACAATCAAAATTAGATCCAAAAACCTACTACCATACCCACATCTTTTGCTTGAACAAAAGGCAGTAATGTTTTTCTTTACCCCTGTGCTCACTCAATATTAAACCTGAGATACTAATACCATACATTATTCTTAAATTCTTTATATTATGATCATTTCTTCTATAACTTAATGCTCGTTTTGATATAGAAATATTATTCTAAAAAAGAAGATATTTCTTAACAAATTTTATTCTCCCCACTTGTGTCTGAATTGAGAAAAATCAAATGTATAATAAAGGTAAAATAGTGAACTTATCAAGATTATCAGTAACAACAGAGCTATTCCTTCCTAGTGGCTGCTCTGGTATCAGATACTGACTATGAAAGCAGAGATTTGAAATCAGAAGATGATTTATGGTAGTAGTGATACTAAGAGACTACACTTATCACAGTGATGGTGGTTATAAAAATAATAATATAAATTATAACTGACTGAGTTATAACAAGCACTATGCTAGATTCACTAGCTCACAGTTACTCAGGTCAGCTCCCTAAGTCCTTGTTACCCTCATTAATATAATACTTTTCTCTAATAACAAAATGCTAATTGACGAAATTATCTGACAGGATTCCTTTGTTTCATTGTCCCACAAATGGCAATGATTTTCTAAAACTGGAAAAAACATGTGACAGATCTGGCAGTATAACTGAGAGGCACACTGAATAAGTCATCAATAGACTGATCGGCTCTGATATACAACCTCTCCTGCACTTCATTCTCAAGTATATAAAATAAAAATGTTAGATGATAACCTTTCATCTCTGAAATTTTTTTCCATGCCAACACAGCAATAAAATCTGGACCCCCAACTTAGGTTATATATGTGCATAAAGGCAAAGGTTTAGCAAAGAGGCAGTACTGCTAGGGCTTACTTAGGCTCTTATACATTCTGATCCAAGATTTCACTTGAAACAGGATCATCTGTGTTGTCAGCGTCTGGGCCAACCTATTGCCCAGCTTCAGAAAGCATAATTCACATTGAGGTCACTGGCAGATGTAAGAATGTGCTCCCAGGAATTCTACAATGAGGCTGCTCACCAACATGTGAAACTGCAGGGTTACAAATGATTTCAAATGCATCCAGTCTATTCCCTCCATGTAGAAGGAAATCTAGTATCATTTTCTTCCTTGTTATAATTCATAATAATTTCACACGAGTCACAAATAAGGCCCTCCCTATTAAAACTATCTATAAAAGTCATGTATAAGCCATGTATTGGTAGCACACATCTGTAATGCCACCACTTCTGTGACTGAAACCAGAGGATTGGGAATTCAAAGCCAACCTGAGCTTTACAGCAAGACCCTGTCTCAAAATCCAATGTGGGTGGGGGGCAAATAGTTCATGACTATAGTCCACTGCTTAGTTTTCAAAGATCTATATGAGAAAAGTAGAAAACATGACATCATATGTTTCACAGCAATATTAAATTATTATCCTGAAAGGGATATAAATATCCTATTTTAAAAATAGACTAGATCTTAGATACAAGACTAGTGTTGAAAGACATCCTTGCTTCTGAAAATTATCCTCCAATAAATTTTACAATCAGATTATATGAACTGAAAACTAACTTATTCTTCCATGCAAGAGAAAAATTAAGTGACAAAAAACACATCATAGCATATGTCCTGAAGAATTCCACACATCTTACCTTTGCTTGCATATATCTCGGATTGAAGCTGCTTTTGCAATTAATTTCTCCCACTGGAGTTCCTTGCCCACAGAGAGAGAAGGCGCATCAGACATGGCCATAAAACGCTGAAGTTCAGGATATACACGATCCTAAAAATGTAATTTCACACACACACAAACACACACAAAGGTAATTTCCCAGCTTGAGTGGAATAATCATTATTTCCTTCTATACATCATTTTCACCTCCAAATTTTTCATTTGCATTGGAAATTATAATGTATCTCTGCTAATCAGCAGAGAAGAATGCTGTTGTGATTACTGAGGATTTTCATACAGACCTATGGACTGTTCCTCTCATAAAACAAGAAGAAAGTGGCTAAATCTCATTCTAATTACAAAGGCTCTAATCACCATTTATATTCTAAACATATTTCTATGCTTTCTCATACAAATAGATAAATTTTAGAAATAAGTAAAAAAAAGATGATTTTGTATTCTCAGTTCTGAGTCAATCAAAACTGGCTATATTACAGATCAAATACATCATAATAAATCAAAATTTCTCAATGCAATCATTGATGCCACTCACTAATAATACTAAATCAAAGCACTGTCACATATAATGGCTTAATCATTTTTCTTCAGTGAAAGGAGTATGTTTACTACTCATATAAGTTTGTATCTGAGCTTACCTGCTTTTCCCACAAAGACGTCAATAGGCGCAGAGTGATGGCTCTCAGCTGTGGGGTGGTTCCAAGCAGTTGGATTACTCGCAGGATCTGTGCTATGCACACCTAGAAAAATATCAAAGACATTTTGGTTTCATAAAAGTAGTGTAGACAACCTCAAGGTTGCCAAAAGCATTTTAAACACTTTATTATATAATGAAATGGAAGCTTGCTGAGATAATACCCATCTTCTCAGAGGATAGAGATAGCTTTGGGAGGGACTCGAGGGCAATCCTGGGGGCATAGGACCTAATCTCAGAGATCAGTAGATGCGACAACTTGGATATTAAGTGCTTTCAAAGAATTATGCCTTAAACATTATAATAAACACTTTAGCTTTGGTGAATATTACCTACTGCAATATATGACCCAAAAAGGGAAATAGGGATAGCATCAAAATTTAAGACTTAAAATTTCAAACCACCAAAAAGAACTCAATGTACTTTTTAGGTCTCACTTTCTTTTTTTCTCTAAGTAAAATGGTTAATATACTAACCTTGTGAACACCAAGCGTAGGTAAAGTGTACAATATGTCATTGTATAGCACAGGCTCCAGTGGTCTACCCAATTTGAACATCAAAACTGGAATCAGATTTGGTACCTAACACGATTTTAAAGAGTATGTTAATTATGCCTTTTTCTTCAAAAACTGCAATCTATAAAGCAATGTTTACCTCTTTTTTCTTGAAAAGAATAATATGACTATGAATGAATTAGAAGACTTAGAAATTAAGTTAGGTATTTGTTATTAATGGCAATTTCATAGTTCTACTAATCCACCTATTTTTTGGGGGGTAGTTGTTTTGATTTGGTTTTTGAGCAGTACTAGGGCTTGAATTGAGAGCCTTGTACTTGCAAAGCAGGTGGATATTAGTGTTGATATCCATCAACACTAATGAATGCATAAATAAAATGTAGCATAATTAAACAATGGACTATTACTCTGCCATAAACAGGAATGAAGTACTAATAACATGTTAAAACATAGACAAATCTTGAAAACATTACTTTAAGTGAAAAAAGCACATCACAAAAGACCACATGTTGTATGATCTCATTTATATACATGAAATGCCCAGAATAGGCAAATGTAGAGAAAGTAAATAGGCCTTGGGATTTGGGGGATAGGGAGAGGTAAAGAAGAGGAAAATAGGGGATGATTGTTAATGAATATAGGTTTCTTTTGAAGATGATGAAAATGGTCTTAAGTTGATTGTAGTGGTATTTGTACTACTCTGTAAATGTACTACAAGCCATGAAATTACATACTTTGAATGAGTGAATTATATGGTATGTGAATTAGACTTTAATAAGACTAATTTTAAAATGCCAATACAAAATCATTTATTGAATCTCTACTATGAGAAAGGCACTTAACTTGATAGGCCAAAATGTAGTGCCAAAAGAAATTATCTTTCAAATGTTACATTTCAAAAGTTGGTTTCTAGTATTTATTTCCTTTCTGTTCTAATCTTTGGAAGCCTGCTCTTCTAAGCTTAGAAGACATCTACTTTAATTCAATTTCAAGAAGAAAAATATCCTCTTAACCCAACCATCAAGACAGTGACATCTAAAAATTAATTCATTAATGATCCTGACCGTGATATACCATGGTGGCATGTGGAGCTATGCATGCAGTAATCACAGCCTCATGGGACACAGCCAGGATTTACGATGTTTTTAACAAGTGTTAGGACTTGGTTAGGACAGAAATTCTATCACTCTCACCTTGGACAATGAAGGAAGACAAATTTTTGAATTGGCTTTTTATTTTCTACTTTAATTAAAAACAAAAAGTTACCTTAGATTGCCTTGCAATATAATGAATTATCCCCAGTGAGAAGATTTCTACCAAGGCACTCTGACAGATTCTTAGTTCTGAGGAAGGCTATCAGTACATTTAGTGGCATTTTATAAAATAGTGTATTTAGTCATGTGACTTTTAAACAAGTGTTTTAATTATATTGTCAAGAAAGAAACAAAGTACTGTATTTATGCCTAAGAATACAGTTCCCTTAAGAGTTCTGACTCTAAAGAAATATGTGTCTTTTTCTTTGGCCAGTTCAGAAAGAAAGAAACCATGTGGGAAACCTTTATAATAAATAATCTTAGACTTAATATAGTTCTTGAGGCATAATAGTCCAAATTAAGTGCCCAGATAAGTGGAAATAATAAAAGAAGGAATATTTCACTAAGGAAACACAGATATATACATCTTTGGAAAAAGATTTTTTACATAAAGTTAAACATGAACTGATATTTTCCTAATGAAATAACACATAATTCCACTTATTTACCTGAGGTATCATTACCAGCTCTTGAGTCTCCTGCTCATAAACCTTTTACTCTCCAGAGATAGAGGGAAAAAATGAACTTTTAGATTTTACCTTAAAATTTTAAAATGCTGATAAGCACCCTATAATTGACTGTCTTGAAATCTAGTTTCATAAAATTCAATGCTTTCTCTTTTCACATTCAGAGTTCAAGTCCTTGACAAACAAACTGATTTAGAGTCATGGGATTGTTACTAGACTCCCCATAAGACTACAAAGCAGATATCGCAGCAGAAATTTTACAAATCAGTAGGGAGCAGGGGGAGGGGAGATAAAGGAGAATGATGGAAGGGATGAATTCAACTATGATATAGTGTAAGAACTTTTGTAAATGTCACAATGTACCACAAGTACAACAATAACCAGTAAATTTATATCTATCTATCTATCTATCTATCTATCTATATATGTATATTTATATATATATAGAGAGAGAGAGAGAGAGATAAGGGAGTGGGATGATATATTCAAAATGAATAGAAAAAACCTGACAAACAAGAGTACCATATCTGGCAAAACTATTCCTTAAATATGAAGGACAAATAAAAGACATTTTTAGATATATAAAAGCTTGAGAGAGTTTACCATACCACTACTAGACCAGCCTTACAAGAAACGTTAAAGGGAGTCCTTCAAATTGAAAAATGAGAACACTAGATAGCAACACAAAAACATACAAAAGTATAAAGTTTTCTGGTAAAGGAAAATATATAGACAAATACAAAATCCTATAATGCTGTAGCATTATACATAAACCACTTTTAATTCTGGTATACAAATTATAACATAAAAGTATAAATAATTATAAATATATAATATGTACATATACACAATATAAAAAAGATGCTATATGCGACATCTGTATCATAAATAGGGTGAAAATTATATAGGTAATTGAAATTTATGTATGTAAGTTATCACTTAAATATTTTTATAGTTGTATGATGTTTTATGTAAGCTTTATGATAACCACAAATAAGATAACCATAAATTGGGGTTATAATACATATATACATGGAAACTTCACAAGGAAACTCCTTGTGTAGCTACCTTTATCTTAAACAAGCAAAAATGACATGTTTTTCTTTTTCTTTTTTATCTCTTTTTTCTTCTACAAAATCAGAGAACAGGAGAGCAGAACAGGTCCTGCCCAGAGGGTAGGAGGCTGGCACCAGTGGGAGGGGGGAGGCAGCAGGGAAAGAGGGTAGGAAGGTGAATATGGTATAAAAAAATGTGTACACGTGTAAGTAAATACAAAAATGATACCTGTTGAAACTACTTGAGGAATCAGGGGGGAGGGAGGATAAAGGAGAGCAGTGGAGGGACTGAATTCAAGTATGATATATTTGATACAGTGTAAGAATCTTACTATCAGTCAAAAATAACCATAAAAGATACACAAAAGAAAACAAATAAGGAATGCTGGTATGAACACAAACAATGGAACATAAAGACAAGAGTAGAAAAGAAAAATCTACCAGACACAAACCAATTAACATAATGGCAATTGTAAATCTTTTCATACCACTAATTTCTTTAAAGTAAATGGATTAAACTCCCAACCAAAAGACAAGAGTAGCTGAATGGATGAAACAAGATCCAACTATATGCAGTCTATAAAATGCAGTCTTAGATTTAAGTAGACAAATAGGCTGAAAATGAAAGAATACTTGATTCAAAGGTAATTAAAAGAGAATAGGGGGTTACTACACTTATATCAGATAATAAACATTAAATCAAAACTGTCACAAGAGATGAAGAAGAACATATATGACGATAAAATGGTTCATTCACCAGGAAGGTACAGCAATTTGTGTGTGTGTGTGTGTGTGTGTGTGTGTGTGCCTGTGTATTGCACCCAACATCAGAACACCCAAATACGTGAAGCAAATACTGATAGCCATACAGTATCAGGAGAAGGGGGAAACAGATAGCATATAATAATAGTAGAAGATTCCAACACCCTCAAGATTCTGACACCCCATTTTTAACAATGGATAGAACATCCAGACCGATCAGTAAGGGAACAAAGGCCTTGAACAACACTACAGACCAAATGATCTTAACAAACATATATGGAACAATCTGACCAATCACAGCAAAATACATGTTGTTTTCAAGCACCCATGGAACATTCTACAGGAAAGGTTAGGTCATAAAACAAATTTTGACAAAACCAAGAGACTGAAATCATACCAGTTACTCTTTTAAACCACAATAAAATGAAAGTAATGAAGGAAAACTTTAAAACATTCACAAATACCTGGAAACTGGGCATTTATTTAAGAGTTATTATTCTTGACTAACCAATGGATCAAAGAAGAAACCAAAGGGGAAATGAGAAAATATTTTAGGACAAATGAAATAATATTCTAGAGCTTATGCAATGTAGCAAAAGCAGTAGTAAGAAGAGGTCACAAGTTCAAGGCCAGCCTGGGCTACATATACGGACCCTGCCTCAGAAAAACAACAGCAGCAAAGATCTCAAATAAACAACATAACTTCACACCTAAAGAAATTAGAAAACGAACAATATTAGCAAAAATAAGGAAATTAAGCCATTTGCTTAAAAAAAATCAATGAAATTAACAAACTTTAAGCTAGACAAAGAGAAAAGAAAAAAGACAAAAATAAAGAAAACCAAAAGTAAGGAAGAGACATTACAACTATGCCACAGAAATAAAGTAGGTTATAAGAGACTAATATGAGCAATTTTATTTAGATTTTTATTTTAATCTAAAAGAGATGGATAAATTCTTTTTTTTTGAAGGACCAGGGTTTTTACTAGTTGAGATAAGGATAGCTATACAGGGAGTTAACTCGCATTGATTTCCTGTGCATGTGTGTTACCTGCTAGGTTAATTCTTCTTGAACTAACCTTTTCTCTAGTTCCTGGTCCCCTTCTTCTATTGGCCTTAGTTGCTTTAAAGTATCTGCTTTAGTTTCTCTGCATTGAGGACAACAAGTGCTACCTAGTTTTTTAGGTGTCTTACCTATCCTCACACCTCCCTTGTGTGCTCTCACTTTATCATGTGATCAAAGTCCAATCTCCTTGTTGTGTTTGCCCTTGATCTAATGTCTGCATATGAGGGAGAACATATGATTTTCGGTCTTTCAGGCCAGGTTAACCTCACTCAGAATGATGTTCTCCAATTCCATTCATTTACCAGCGAATGATAACATTTCGTTCTTCTTCATGGCTGAATAAAATTCCATTGTGTATAGATACCACATTTTCTTAATCCATTCGTCAGTAGTGGGGCATCTT